ATCACGATTAAACGGTTATTTTAACTCCGATTTTGATGATTTTTTACAGCTACACTCCTTGACCCTATATGAATACAATGAATCAATTTTATCTTCAATTGAAAATATTTACACTAGTGGATACCACAAAATCTTATATTGTATTTAATGAAAGTTTATAAACTCTTAATTGTTAGTGAATATATTGTTTTGATGGCATACGCATTCTACAAAACTAGTTTCAACGATCCAACGTCAAATTTGTTTGTTTACACTTCGAGATCATATACGCCAAAAATCGGAAAAAATAAACATTCAGAGATTAAGTAATCGGACAAAAAGTTTCGATGGTTATAAACAAAAATCACGATTAAACGGTTATTTTAACTCCGATTTTGATGATTTTTTACAGCTACATTCCTTGACCCTATATGAATACAATGAACCAATTCGATCGTCAATTTAAAATATATATTTTCTAACAATAACCCAATCCGAACTACAATAATATATTTTTCTAGCAAAAGAATTTTTTTTTAAAATTTATTTTTGTATAGACTTTGCGAGACGAAGATTATTATTTCGTCGCGCAAAGTCATCCAAATGTTTTTTAATAAAGAATTTTTTTTTAAAATTTATTTTTGTATAGACTTTGCGAGACGAAGATTATTATTTCGTCGCGCAAAGGCATCCAAAAATTTTTAAAAATAATTTTTTATTTATTTATTTTTGTAAATACTTTGCGAGACTAATCACTATTCGTCGCGCAAAACTCTGTGCACCGAACTCTAATATTCGTCGCGCAAAGCTACTTTTCGCGACGATGCTTTGTCGTCGCGCAAAGTGATTTTGTGCGACGATTTGTTTTTCGTTGCGCAAAATTGAGTCGCGTAAGACTTTGAGCGACGATGATTAATATTTGTCGCGCAAAGTGACTTTGCGCGACGAATTTTATTTGGTCACGCAAGGGATTTTTTTTAGTAGTGTTATTCTTTATCTTCATTATTTTGATTGTTAATTTTAATGTTAATCTCCTAATCTTATATGTTTTTATTAGGATATTTCAAGCCCTATTTTTGGACATCCCAACCTTCGCTTTACAAGCATGCTTCAAGGAAGTAATCAAATGTCTTTTTTGAGTCAGGTATTACATGAGATCATGGAATTAAGAAATCTGATTTTTCTTTTTCCTAACGTGAGATCATGTTATGATGCATTAGGATTCATCAAGAACTTTGAATGAAAATTTCGCATATGGACCATCAAGTAATTTAAGTCAAGTTTGATTCAATGATATTAACTGACACTTATATTTGTGTTAATGTCCATGTGGATGAAATTTTAATTGCGATCTTATGTGGTTAAGTTGTGGTGTAGGATTAGTATTTCAATGATTTCAACCAATTTCTTGGATGTTAAGATTGATAAAGGCTGGTTGACAAAAGGTAGAGATCGTCATTATAGTTTCTAATCCTAATATGACAAGACCTTATACGAATTTTCTAATTTTTGGTTGAATATCTTATTTGAACAGGGGCATTAAAAAATTAAATCATTTTGATGTGTAGAGGCCATTGTTACACTTTGCAAAGAAGAATGATATATGTCTTTTGTTGGACAAAATTACACTTGTATATATGTGTTGGATAGTGTGCTCCATTTCTTTTTGTTATATAATTTGGCAAAGGTTACACTTTTGTATAGGGGAACAATACCACCCCTCTTTCCTTTTGAAGTGTCATTTGAAGAAAATAATTTTGAATGATTTGAAAGAATTACATTGCACTTGAAGAAAATGCAGCCTTCAAGAATACATCCAAATAGCTAAATAAAGTATTTCTTGTTTGCTTTGTGAGAAATTCGAAACCTTGAAAGAATGCAACAATTTTATTTTCATTTTTTAAAAGCCATTAAAACCAGAAAAAAAAAAACAAAGAAACCAACATGGCAGTGGCTGCTTCAGTTGAGGGAGAAATATCCCAACAAAAGAAAGCAATTTTCGTTCCTAACAAAAAAAAAAGGAGAAAGCACACGGGTTTTTGGTTAGAATAGAAGACATTGGAATGGGTGGGAGGGTATTCTAGAGATTTTCTCCCAACTAAAAGTATTCTCAAAATATTAAAACTTATAAAAGATGAAGTCAACGTTATTGGCTGCTAGCGTGATCTCATTGGGCTGGGACATTGATGTGGACAGCTAACCCTAACACCCTTGTGTCAAGGAAGTTTTAATGATATTATGTAGTTTTATTCCAATTATATATGGCTAACGACAAAACACCTCTAGATATTCTCAATTTGGGCTCTCGGGTTTCAATTTCATCAATTTACACCCCATGGTTTTCAAATTTGACCAATTTAAGCCTTCCGTTAAGTTAACCGTTTGGTCAGACATTAACTGATGATGCGTCCATTGTGAAACCCTGTTGAAGTTTGGCTCACCATAGATGCGGGGAAGGAAGGCGTTGCAAGGAGGAGCATCGGGCAGAGGAGAAGAAGACGTCGCAATACTAAGTTGTTGCAGGCAACCGGTCAGTTTTAACTAAGAGCTCGAGCATGAATTCGGCGTTTTGGAGAGTTTGGACGAAGTTTCCTATTATTTTGGGGTTTTGGCCTAATTTAATAGGGTTTTAGTTTCCTATTCCTAGTTAACTTGTAGCTAAATTCTTATGCATTCTAAAGAGGACTTTTAAGGCTAGGTTAAAAGTAAGAGGGGAAAATTCAAGAGTGAATTTTCAAGAAAGAGACACAAGACAAAATTCAAGGGTGAATTCTTGAGTGTTTAGAAGGGCATCAAAGGGTTTGAGCAAGGGTGATAGAAAAGAGAGCTAGGGTTCTTGTGAGAGCTAAAGGGATTAAGTTGTAACCAAAGTGGTTCTTATATACCAGTGAATTTCTCGAGTGGATCACCAAGAGAACATAGGCAGAAGGTTGAACCTCTATAAGTCTTTGTGTCATCGTGTGTTTGTTTTACTCTCTTCATGGTGTGTGTGTTTTATTCTCAAAGCGGTTTATATGTGTGTGCGTCGTATAGTCCATCAGCGACAAGGTCTTGCAGTGTTTCCGCACAACAAACCCACCTACTAACCAATTCCTAAATATATATAATTAAAATAAAATAAAATTAAATGCACAACAAACCCACCTACTAACCAATTCCTAAATATATATAATTAAAATAAAATAAAATAAAATAAAAATTAAAAACTTTATAAAATTTAAAAATAAATAAAAAACCTCCCCATAACCCAGCCTTTCCCCTCCCAACAAAAATCCTTAAATTTTGAACCCATCTCTCTCTCTCTCTCTCTCTCTCTCTCTCTCTCTCTCAAAACCCATAACCTTGACCTAAAATTAACCAATCTGACATGTGTCTCTCTATAAAATAAAATCAGAGAGATCTTCACCAATCGTAACTCATTCAGTTGTTCTCAGTGGTGGGCATGGTCGAAAGCTGGCTCGACCTTTGCTGGAAGCCAACTCTTCGCTTTTACTGGTGAGTAGAGGTGTTAAACGGATCAGGACAGCCTGAGCACAGCCCGATTAAGTAAGGCCCCACACCACACGGCTTGTATCTTTGGACGACCCGAGACAAGGTAATTCGACCCAACGGACTAGGCTGACCTACCATTTAAAGCCCATTTATTAGAGGCTTAATTACTGTAGCACCCCCTGAAACTTCGGTCAAATCTCACTTAACCCCCCCAAAGTTAAAATGGCCCACTTTACCCCCTTGACCGTGGTTTTGTGTTCCATTTAACCCCCCACCGTCAACGCCATCCAAACGACCATCAAAAAAGCTGACGTGGCAGGGGCATTATGGTCCAATCACCCACGGTGCCCAATTACTGACCCTATTCAGCATCCTATGTGGCATAGTGGACCCCACATGCGTTGAAAATCCTAATCTAAGCGACTGAGTTTGTATAGTCTATTGACCCAAAAAAAAAAAAAAAATCGAGTTTGGCAAAAGAACCCCCTTCTCAGTCGATATAATTTGGGGATTAGGGTTAGGAACGTATAATCGAAGAGAGAGAGAGAGATTCGAAAATCTAAGAAGAAGCGAATATTGTAGGTGAGTGAAATCTCTTATCAGTCGATATAATTTGGGCATTAGGGTTTGGACTGTATAATCGAAGAGAGAGAGAGAGATTCGAAAATCTAAGAAGAAGCGAATATTGTAGGTGAGTGAAATCTCTTATCAGTCGATATAATTTGGGCATTAGGGTTTGGACTGTATAATCGAAGAGAGAGAGAGAGAGATTCGAACATCTGAGATTGCAGAAGAGTGAAATCAGAACAATCGACATCTTGGGTACTGCGCGAATATTGGTAAAGGACAATGACGGTGCCGAGAGAGAAAGGAGGTTCTCAACCCGAGTATGTTAAGTGGCCCTTTGCTTTTGAAATGGATTTGACGAAAGCGATAGATTGTGTGGTCCAGGTTGAAACTTCTTTATTGTCTGCTTGCTTTGTTGGGTTTGATTAGCCTGGAAAAAAAAAGTGTTGTGGTCCCCTATGCGTTGCTGTTATGTTTTGTTGTTTACTAGTAGTTTAAAGGTTGTTTTAGTGCTTTAAACATGTTAGGTGCGATTGAATCTTGTTCCATGTCTGTTTACTGGTAGTTTGGTGGTTGTGTTGTCCTTTTTAAACTATACATATGACTAGGCGGTGGTTAAAGTATATTCCAAGCATGAGTAGGCAGTAGTTGTGTTGTCCTTTTTAAACTATACATATGACTAGGCAGTGGTTAAAGTGTGTTTTTTTATGTTATGTTGTGCAGATGACAAAGCAATAGTCACCTTTGAAGTACACCATGGAGGTAGAATGGTAAAATCCCCAAATGTCAATGAATGGTGGTTTTATGTGGGGGGGTCTGTTGATTATTTGGACTGGTGTCTTCTGGACTACATAAATTTGCTAGAGATATATGCGTATGCAAAAGAGCTTGGGCACCATGACCAAGTGGTTGTGACAGGGATACAAAATGGTAAAAAGGTGTGTATAGATAGTGATGCTCAGCTACTTGATTGGTGTCATTTGGTGCCTCCTAGCTTTCAAAGAGTCATTGTCATTTACTTGTCATTAAGTCCAATTTGGAGGGTGACAAATCCAGATTTGAAAGGATTTATATATGCTTGGCAGCTACAAAGAAAGGATTTATTGATGGTTTGAGGCCAGTTGTTGGTTTGGATGCTTGTCACATCAAAGGGCAACACCCTGGGCAATTACTATCTGCTGTTGGTGTTGATCCTAACAACGGCATGTATCCAATAGCTTATGCAGTGGCAGAGGCTGAGAATTATGCAACTTGGACTTGGTTTTTAGAACTTTTAGCTGTTGATCTTGGCATTGAAAATAGCAATGGATATGTGTTCATTACAGATAGACAAAAGGGCTTAATTGATGCAGTGGGTGACATGTTCCCAAACTCTGAGCATAGGTATTGCCTTAAACATCTGCATGCCAATTTTATACTTGCTGGGCATAGAGGATTAGTTTTGAAACAACACATGGAGGGTGCTGCAAGAAGTACAACTGTACCTTGGTTTCAAGCTGAGATGAAAAAGCTCCAAGATTTGTCAGGACCAGCTTTTGATTGGTTGTCACGGCTTGATCCAATGCAATGGTGTAGATCTCACTTCAGAACACACTCAAAGTGTGACATTCTCTTGAATAACATGTGTGAGGCATTCAACGGTTCTATCCTTGATGCTAGAGACAAGCCTATTATAACATTGCTTGAGAGGATCAGGTATTACATCATGTTGTTGATGGCAACTAGACGAGAAGCTATGGAGAAATTGCATCATGATGTGGGGCCAAGAGTGTTTGCAACTCTGGAGAAGCTTAAGAAGCAGTCAGCCTGGTGCATTCCAAGGCTTGCTGGGGAGAGCAAATATGAGGTCAAGTGTTTTGGAGGCACTCAGGTGGTTGTTGATTTGAGGAACAGAAGTTGTTCATGTAGGCAATGGGATCTAACTGGGATCCCATGTAAGCATGCTTGTGCTGCCATTGGGCAGTTAAATGGCAATCACATTAGCTATGTCCATGATTATTACAAAAAAGAGGCCTTCATGAAAGCCTACAAACCCATGGTTCATCCAATGCCAAGCCAAGACTTGTGGCCTAAAACAAATTTCCCACCTTTGCTGCCACCTAAATTTCATAAGCAGCCAGGGAGGCCAAAGAAATCTAGGATAAGCTCAGCCGGTGAACCATCTTCAAGCTCTAATCCTAAAGCTAAACACTTGCCAAGGTATAATTTGGAAATCAAATGTTCCATATGTAAGCAAGCATGGCATAATAAGAGGAAATGTCCAAGGGTAAATGAAGCAGGGAGTAGCAGCCATGTATATTCAACAGCATGTGATTTTAAAAGTTTTGTATGTTTGGCATTCTGATATGGATTTCCCAGTGATGTTTGTTTGCCAGGTACCATCACAAAGGCAAAAGAAGATAGCACATCAAGGCAAGAGATCAAGTCAAAGAGTTACAAGACAATCAAGGCAGAAACAACCAGTAAGTTGGGATACTTTTATTCAATTAACATTATGGAACTCTTCATTTGTACATATTAATCCAAAAGCGGCCATGTTAATCTAACTCTGTTATGTTTTCAGTTCATATCAAAGGCTAAAAAAAGGACCAATCATGACCAAGCTCCTCAACCATCTCATCAACCACCTCAACCATCTCACCAACCAGCTCAACCATCTCAACCATCTCAGTCTAACCAAGCTCAACAACCATCTCCTCAACCAGCTCAACCATGTCAAGCATCTCAGTTTGAACAACCATCTCAAGCTTCTCAGTTTGAACAAGCGTCTGAAGCTGCTTTGTTTGAACAAGCCTCCCAGTCTGAACAACCAAATTCGTCTCGGCCTTTACAAGCTTCCCCACAAAGGAAAGTTAGGCTTAAGTCTCCAGCTAAGAGGAAAGCCTTCCTGGGAAGGTTTAAGCCATGGAGATATTGAAAAACTCACCTTTGTTTTGATGTTTTGCTGTGTGTTGGTAGACGCATATGTTATTGGGTAGAAATGTCTGTTTGGTATTTTATTGTCTACTCTTTTTTTGGGTTCAAACTATTTGGCATTTCCATGGATTAAACAGGTGCATATGAGGTCTTTTGTAACATGTGCTTAGAAAGTATTTTGAGTTATGT